CGACAATTGCAACTTCTCGCGCCTGGGCGGGGCGCGAACCGCCGACCCCTCGAATGAAAGGTAGGCACGTTACCACTGTACTAGCCCGGAGGCTCTCCTTCGGGTCATGTTAGGTCGCTTATCCTCTCGCTTGCTTAGGGCGTGCGGCCATTTCTGTTTGTCGAACGGCTTACCCCACCCGAGCGTTTCCTGTTGTTCTCGAGGTGAGGTCATCTCCCGACAGATTCCACTGTTCATTGGATGTCAGGGAGAGAGAGAGTGAAAGGGAGAGCGCGCGCGCGCGAGAGAGAGAGAGAGAGAGAGAGGGGGGGGGGGAAGAGGGAGGGAGAGAGAGAAAGGGAATGATGGAAAGATATTAGATAGATAGATAGAGAGAGGAAGGGGGGGGGGGAGAGAGAGATGAAAGAGAGGGGGGAAGGGAGGGAGGGAGGGAGAGAAAGGGAAAGAGGGAGGGAGAGGGAGAGGGAGAGAGGGAGAGGCAGAGGGGAGTGAGAGAGACTGTAGAAACTGCAGAGGTGCCTCTGAACTTTGGTTATGACTGGTTGGGCAGTGATAATGGTTAAAACAGCTTGACTCTTTATTAAGGAAGAGTACTACACGGGGAACATAAGAGACGATGGGGTAAGCGCTGAACGTGGTGTTCCGTGTCCGGCCAGCCAGCCGTTGGGGCGGCAGAGGCGGTGACGACCTGGTCACGTCGAGCGCTAGGCACAAACTGAGATGTCATACGAGGTCAGATAAGTCCTCGCTGGCATGTTGGTTCTAGATTGGGCTTAGGGAGACGTGGCAACCAGCCGCGTGGTCTATGTCTAAAGCCTTACACAAATCGTGCTTATGGACACGGTAGAGAGAGAGAGAGAGAGAGAGAGAGAGAGAGAGAGAGAGAGAGAGAGAGAGAGAGAGAGAGAGAGAGAGAGAGAGAGAGAGAGAGAGAGAGGGAGAGGGAGGGAGAGGGAGGGAGAGGGAGGGAGAGGGAGGGAGAGGGAGGGAGAGGGAGGGAGAGAGAGGGAGGGAGAGGGAGGGAGAGGGAGGGAGAGAGAGGGAGAGAGAGAGAGAGGGAGAGGGAGGGAGAGGGAGGGAGAGGGAGGGAGAGGGAAGGAGAGGGAAGGAGAGGGAAGGAGAGGGAAGGAGAGGGAAGGAGAGGGAAGGAGAGGGAAGGAGAGGGAGGGAGAGGGAAGGAGAGGAGGGAGAGGGAAGGAGAGGGAAGAAGAGGGAGAGGGAAGGAGAGGGAAGAAGAGGGAGAGGGAGAAGGAAGGAGGGAGAGGGAGGGGGAGAGCGAGAGTGTTTAATGTGTTTAACTACTTACCCTCGACTTCCCACGGTACCCAGCACTCTACTGGTCATCGCCTGTGCCAACTTTGACCTGCGCCCAGAACAGAACGACATTGACGAAGTGCCCCCAGAGCAAGCGATTCCGACCCTTACCGTCAAATACTTTATAACTACAAGTGAACTTATATCTTGATTATAATCAAAATGTTTGTCAGAAAATCCTTATTCTCAATCACTATATTTTTAATAATTATTATTGACGATATTGTAGTTATCACACGTTCACGATTTAATTACAATGACGTATCCAGTATCCCGTGACCATGTGACCGCAGGACCCTAACCGAACCATAAAAACAAAATAGTCTTTACAAACATTCCCACGAAAGATCAACGTTGCCATATTCATAAATTTAGTGAATATCCTGTGAACCCCTCAAAAAGGAAAAAAAAAGGCAAATAAGCCACAGATACTGGCTTTATCTCTACGACGGAGTTAAAGCTGGTAACTGTGGAAAAAATGCAAAAAAGTGTATAAATCAGGATGACTCATATAATTAATTTACTGCTATCACAATATCGACTCACCAAGCTCCATATCAGACGTAGTGAGAACTAAAATGTATCCACTTTTAAATTTTATTACTATTTTTGATTACTTAATCTGATGCGCGGAAACCTTTGCAAGAACGAGACACTTCAATCCCCCCCCCCCCTCTACCATTCCGTTCATATCGTGGGAGTGTTTCATATTACCCGAGGTTTAGTTTCACAAACCAAGAAATTTTCACCAGTGACACCAGACCAATGATACAAATCGAAACGCTACACACGTATCTGTCGCTTAGTGTTCGTGCGTTTATAACACGATAGGACTTAAGTAGACTTAAGTAGACAATCATGTAAACGGATTTCAGATCATTAGCACCGTAAAAATAAAATAAGTGACACCCAGTTATCACCGCGGTTTGACACCGGTCCGTTCATATCGTTCGTGTAACCTCACATGAAGAATATATATACACATACACAGATACTGTGTGTATGTGTGTGTGTGTGTGTGTGTGTGTGTGTGTGTGTGTGTGTGTGTGTGTGTGTGTGTGTGTGTGTGTGTGTGTGTGTGTGTGTGTGTGTGTGTGTGTGCGTGCGTGCGTGCGTGCGTGCGTGCGTGCGTGCGTACGTGCGTGCGTGCGTGCGTGCGTGCACACACGTATGTAATATATATATA